GACTATGGGGTTATGGGTACTCTGGTGATGGGGGTGTGTGATAACATACATCTGAAGAGCTATGAACCTGTACTTCTAAATCACATAGACATTGTAAACCAATACTACCTCAATAAAAAAGTATAATTAAAAAAATTATTTATTTATGCATACAAGAACTGGGGTACAGGCCAGAGGTGTGAGAGGGTGAGAGGACTCACCAGAGACAGAGTGGGGAGCAGAACAGGCAGATCTACTGAAAAACACTGCTGAGGGGAGCAGCAGGCGAGTCAGGAGAGATCTGCTGTGCCATGTGGGTAGCTCCCTGGCCGGGGATCGAACTCATGCTGCAGTGGCTGCGGACTGCTTCATAGGTTGCATCTTAACCCCTTGTGCCACTGGGGAGGCCCAACATTTTTTTTTTTTAAAGGAGAAAAACTTGGTAGACAAGCTATAGGTTTTTGTCTGGAGAATAAACTTAGAATATATTTGTAATTTAAATTCTAAAGTTGCTGGCAAGCAATCAGAAGCAAGCAAGACATGCTCAGATAAGCTGGAAAGACACCAGAGCAAGGGGGACACTACCTCCCTGTTGTCTCTCTTTGCCTAAAACCAGGACTGCTAGGATAGTTGCAGAACCTCTGGGGATGTATGGAGAGACCTGAAAATGAGAATATTCATTTACTTATTTATTTTTTAAAGATTTATTTTATTTTTTTATGCACACAAGAACGGGGTGCATGCCAGAGGTGTGGGGGGTGAGAGGATTCACCAGAGACAGAGTGGGGAACAGAACAGGTAGATCGACTGAAATACCCTGTCTGCTGCATCATGTGGGTCAGCTCCCTGACCAGGAATCAAACTCATGTTGCAGAGCTGGGGATAGCTTGATAGCGCTGAGACTTTAACCATTGCACCACCAGGGAGGCCCTAAAATAAGTTTTTAAATTATTATTTGTTATGATTGTCTATAGCTATTTTCCATTTATCCTGATCAATCAACACTGTCCAACAGAAACATAACATGGGTCATATATGTAATTTTAAGTGTTCTAATAGCAATGGTTAAAAAGTATAAAAAAAGATGAAATTAGTTTTAATAATATCCTTTATTTAACCCAATTCATCAAAAGTAGTATTGTTTCAACATGTAGTCAATATAAAAATTACACATATTTTACATGCCCTTCTTTTTTCACACTAAATGTTTAATATCCAGCATGTATTTTACATTTACAGCACATCTCAATTGGAACTTAAACAGCCACATGTGCCTAGTGGCTGTCATATTGTTATTGCTCTGTTTTTAAGATTTATTTATGCATACAAGAACTGGGGTACAGGTCAGAGGTGGCAGGGGGAGAGGATCCACCAGAGACAGAGTGGGGAACAGAAAAGGCACATCTACTGAAATACACTGCTGAGGGGAGCAGCAGGCGAGCCAGGAGAGGTCTGCAGTGCCATGTGTGTTAGCTCCCTAGCTAGGGATTGAACTCAGGCTGCAGTGGCTGGCTATAGCTTGATAGCACTGTGTCTTTAACCCCTGTGCCACCAGGGAGACCCCAAATCCCCTTAAATTAAAAGAACTTAGTGAATTGATAACAGGGGAGAATTTTAGAATTGGAAGATAACTTAGTACCATAGTTCTTATCTGAGACAGTGAGAAGTCTGTTAGTGTAATTTTTGTATTTTGAATCCGCAAGTGACAGGAAAAACAACACAAAGTAGTCTAGACAAATCAGGGGAAGAGGCAGGGAGCTTGCACATACAAATGACTGAGAAGCCCAGAGGTGGAAGTGGCCTCAGGTCTTATAAAGGGCATTCCAGGGCTTCTTATTTCCCATCTCTGGACTCTCCCTCCATTAGGGTTGGGAGAGTGGCTCAGATTGGCTGAATGGCTGCCCTGGCTCAGGACCTAACTAATCAGAGGAAATGAGTATTCTTCTCTTTGTTTGGCCTAGTAGCAGTGATGGATTTAACAGGTCTAATTGGATTACTCTTCCATTTCTAAATTAATTGGGGAGGGCTTAGAACAGGAATGACATAATTCACCAGGAGTGGTCATGTCCCTGTTCCAGGAGAGGTGGGGTGTAGGTGCCAATCACACCTGAATCGGAAGTATGGTCTATTTTAACAGTGTGATATCTGTAGAAAGGGGAGGTTCAGGGTCCTGAGATGCCCCTCATTCTGCTCACTAACATTGTGAGAGAGAGAATTCCCCAAAGAAAATCAAGAGATGTTCACCATAGGGCCTCCCTGGTGGTGCAAGGATTAAGTCTCAGCACTATAAAACTATGGGCAGCCACTGCAGCACGCAGTAATTATGGAGAGACTCACTGTGCTGAGACTTAATCCCTTGCACCACCAGGGAGGCCCTATGTTAAGGGATTCTTAGGAAACTAGTACTAAGTACCAGCAAGACTGTTGTACAAATCCAGGGCTGTTTGATTTCAAAGACTTTGACAGAAGAAAATAAAATTAAAAAGAGAAACACAACAAAGAGGGGAGCAAATCAAGGCAAATACAAATGAGCTAGAAGAGAAAAATATTAAGGAAAGAAAAGTAAGAGAAAGCATTTGCTAGGATGCCCTTCGCCTAGGAAACATCCCATTTAAGGCCTGACTGAACAACTGTAGTTTCCATTGGCCCTCTTCCCCTTGCAGTACGACATCCTCATTCTATACCTGAGAATTCTAATGCTCAATCTGTTACAGGGCAGGGAGAGGTGCACCCCAGACCCCGCAAACCTGCCTATTCTAAATGGGTTTTTCCATCCACCGTATTAACACAAAACATATGAGACTTTAATGGGAAGGAACTTTACAATTGGGAAACAATACAGGAAAGGCAAAAAATACAGTTTCTAAATCAAGCACCCAATGTTACCCCTGTCCCCTTGTGGGTAAAAGTCCACCCAAGCAGGATTGGCCCAGAGCAAGGCCCCAAAGCCTGCCACAAATCTAAAGAATCTTCCAGTGGGGACCCACAGAAAAGCATCAGAAACAACCAGACAAGTCTGGAGGGAAAAGAGCAAAATCAAAATCAAGACAAAACCACCATTGTCCCCTCCCCACGGGTCTCTCACCCACATCTGTGTCACCCAGTCCACAACCAAAAGGCAAGCACAGCTTCTTCATGTCTCTTGGCTCCATGTGCCTCCTCCAGGTCTCCTTCTGGCTCCATCCTGCTTCCTTCCTTCTCAGTCTCCTCTGCAGCTTCTTCTCTCCATCCTGCTCAGGTACACCCTCCCTTGGGTGGGGCAGGGAACCAGGAATCTCCCCCTTTCCTGGGGACCACCCAGTTACAATCCCTCCACCGTCTCAACTATGGATAAACTTTTTTTTTTAAGATTTATTTTATTTATTTACGCATAAAAGAGCTGAGGTGTAGGCCAGAGAAGCTGGTGTGTGTGTGCGTGTGCACGAGAATTCACCAGAGACAGAGTGGGGAGCACAACAGGTGGATCTACTGAAATACACCACTGAGGGTGGCAATGAGACAGGAGAGGTGGGAGAGGTCTCACAGTGCTGATCAAGCAGGAAGTTTCCCAAGCCTGCTGCTTGGGAGAGTCTGCTGGTTAGATTCTGCTGCTTGCTGGAGTGGAGAAATTGCTGGGTGTACTGCACTGCTTGTCCTGCGTGGTAGCCATGGCTACCTTGACCCCCTTCCGGAACAATAAAGAATGCTTATGCTATGATGAATGGAGCAGCAAGTTTCCTCATACAAACTGTATAAAACCCTGCCATTTTTGCTCTCAGGTGCTCAGCCTTTTGGTAGCGATCCCACTGAGCCTGCTTCTGTGACAATTAAATCTCTCTTCACCTCTGAGTGCCGCCTGACATCTTTGGGAAATTGCCACAACACTGAGACTCAACCCCTTGCCCCATCAGGGAGGCCCTGGATAAACCTTTTTAGAGGCACAAGAAGAGATAAGGCTTCAAGTGAAATGATCTGGGGGAGATAAAATATTAGTAAATAATTGGCATATCTATCAGATAATGACTGAAAATACAAATTATCAGGTTTTTTTCTTTTTCTTTAGAGCGCTTTTAAGTTTTAGCAAAAAGTCAGCCTTCACTGGAGATACCTTACAAACTTCCTACATGGAACTCAGTTCCAGAGAGGGAGGAGAGCTTGATGATTTTTCTAACGCAGTGGAGGTCATTTCTCTCCTAGTGTTTAATTGTTCTCCAGGCTCTGTTTTCCAAAGGGAAGTGGAAAACAGAGGAAGGTGTGGGAGCTGCCCGAGGGCCCCTTCTCTCCTCTAAATCACCTCTGCAGCTTTTTCGAGAAGGGCCAGAGGTGCCTTTCAGGCATTTGTTTGCAGGCCCAGAAATTAAATTCATTCTCAGAAACTTCCTTTTGCTGTTATTTGCTAAAGGGAAGTTTCCAGAGGGCCTGAACCGTCTCATTTGCCTTTGAGTTTCTAGTAAACATTTTCAAAGTCCAGGCTGACGACGCCACCGACTCTGCAAATCCTGCAGTTCGGGTGAGAGGCGGGAAAGTAGCCTGTTTTTAGCGGACTTTTCGGGATCGGTCCTTCCCCTGAGGGTGGGATCCGGGCGGGCACGCTCGAGGGGCAGCTCAGTCTCGGCTCCGTGACCTCGGAAACAACTGGAAGCCTGTTTGTAAAACGTCCGCGTTCCAGCCTAACCGTTCAAAAGGATCAAGTAATTAATGAATTCGCCCAGTAAGTGCATCTCATTAGGCACAACTAGCTGATCAGTGTTTGGGAGTGGCGGCGACGGCATTAATAAACCACCCCGTCTATTTGGAGCGGAGGGAGGGGGCACTAGAGAGACCTCGGATGCGACGAACGGCAAATACCGAGGATTAGAGTTCCAGGCCTGAGGCGACTAACGCGCGATTGCGCGCGTCTCTTCAGACCCGGCAGCAGCCCCGCCCCAGCGCGCTCCCAGCAACCGCGGGCGTTTGGAGCCTCTACGTCACGGCCCCTGCCGCCTCTCATTGGACAAGACCGTCCAATCACGTGACTGGAACATGGCGTATAAAATCGGGCGAGGGGAAGGCGGTGGTCCGCCATTTCGTGGACGCCGGGTCAGCGAAAGCATCTGCGGGAGTGGGGCGGGGCGCTCCATTAGAAGGTGCGTGCGTGGATTTGAACCTCTGCATTTCCAACCCAAGATCTCGGTAAGAGACCGGCGACTGAGAGAGTGAGATGGGCGTTGGAACCTAACAGCCAAAATGGGGCTAGGCCCAATGGCGGCGCCAGGTTGAGACAAAGAGGCGCCGCCGCCATTTTGTGACGTTCGGCACGGGGCGGTGGCGGGGGCTCCCAACCCATCAGAGGATGTTCCCTGGCCTTGAAATGGAGGTGTGTAGGACCCTTCAGTGGGGGGTATGTTTGGGATTACCGAGAGTTAGGGAGAAGTGGGGGGCCGGCAATTGAATTGGGCCCTAGGCCGCGGCCTTTCAACTTATGGCGCCTTTTTTTTGCCTCACGTTTTCGTAGGAAGCTTTTCAGGATTTTTTTCTCGAATCACTATTAAAGATTGGACGTTTCAATCCAGATTAAATCATTTCTGTGCTCATCTTTATTTTCTTGTTCATTTAAATTTGATTTTTTAAAGCCTGAAGCCCTTTTTTTGAAAACTGAAAATGATTTGCCTTAAGCTGCATTGTTCTTGCAGCTACCTCCCATTAATACGTACTCACGGCAAAGTTTTTAAAAACCAATGAACTCCTGGGCACAGGGTGGGGTCACGAAAAGAGGATGTGTCCGGACTGGTTTTTTTTTTTTTTTTTTTAAATCGGATAAGCCCAGAGTGACAAGAATGTGGTGTTTACGAAAGACTATCAGACTTCATTGGCTGCTCTTTTATGCATTTGAAACTGGTCTACGAGTTGATTAGATGCATCACTGAGACGATTTTTAAGTATTTAAGTTTTATTAAATGTAAACACGAAAGTGCAGTAAATTCCTTGGATGGCAAATTGCTGACCGTTTTTTGCAGAAATTAACATAAGACGCATTTTGGAAGTGTACATTTAAGGAGTATTTAGTACATTCCCGGTATAACTGTCACCACTATCTAGTTCCAAACGTTTTTTTAACCACTGAGGAGAACAGTACCGGTTTGCAAGCTTTTCCTTATTAAATCTGTGCTCCCCAATCCGCCTCTGCTAAGCATAAATCTGCTCTCACTGGCTTTGCCTATTTTGGATATTTTCATGCACTTGGAATCGGACAATATGCACCTTGTGTCTGACTTATGTCAGTTAGCACGACTTGAAGGTGCAGACATCTTTGGAACTTTGGTTAGTGCTTCATTCCTGAGTAGTAGTCGGTTGTGGATAATTTTGCTTGACCAGTTAAGTTGGAGGACTTTTGTGTTGACAACTTTGGCTATTGATAATACTCTTGTATTAAGCACATACTTAAAATCCCACTTAGTTTTGCTACTTGAGAAATGAAGCTGGTTGCGACTTACTATTCTCCAGGCTCTGTTTTCCAAGGGGAAGTGGAAAACAGCCGAAGGTGTGGGAGCAGGCCCGGCCTCTCTTCTCCACTAAGTCACTACTGCAGCTTCTTCAGGAAGGGCCAGAGGCTCCCATCCAGGCATTTGTTTGGAGACCCAGAATTTAAATCATTCTCAGAAACTACCTTTTACAGTTACTTGTAGATCTTCAGCATTGTTGCATTTGGCCTTTTGAGTCTCCAGGTTTTGTTTCTGAGAGTTATCCTCCCGTAAATACTTTTATTTTTGAGATGAACCGAAATAACAGGTGAAGTCTCCAACTTTGCTCAGATTGTAATACTCCAGGTATTTTGTTCCTCATTTAAATACACCCCCCACGCATGCACATGCGCGCGCGCGCGCGCACACACACACACACACACACACACAATTTGTGCTAGCTTCCTTGTGGTTACCAGTAGTCATTGAGGGGAGAATTGGGGGTTTGGGGCTGAGTATTTTTTACAGTTTGTTTTTTTCTTCTACTCAGGCTATCTCATGTTACTCAGAGATTATTTGGGTAAATGATTTAATAATTGGGTTATTTTTTGTTACAGAAATGCATCGTGATTCCTGTCCCTTGGACTGTAAGGTTTATGTAGGTAATCTTGGAAACAATGGTAACAAGACTGAATTGGAACGAGCTTTTGGCTATTATGGACCACTCCGAAGTGTGTGGGTTGCTAGAAATCCTCCCGGCTTTGCTTTTGTTGAATTTGAAGATCCCCGTGATGCAGCCGATGCTGTCCGAGAGCTAGATGGGAGGTAATTAAATTAATAACTTACAATGTAAATACGGTCTAGTTTTTAATAAATATTGTAAGATACCGTTTTTTAGAAAACTAAGTCTTACCGGCTGTCAAAACAGCACCAAACGATGTGTTAATGACCTTAAGAAAAGTGTCGTTTCACTCATTTGGACAGTAAAGAATTTATGTGGTTTATTTTTGGTGAGTTTTAAATAATATTGGGTGGCTTGCTGCATCTAAAATATGGCTGAAACACTTTGTATCTCCCACGTTGTCTTAACCTTTGCCTATAAGTGTTTCACTTAGTAGAAAGTTGGGGGTCTGTGGTGATTTCCCTTTGTTTTGTGAACTTCCCTTGCCTGATAAATAATACCTGAATTTGAATAGGTATTGCCTTCTCTGCATCTCTACCCCTTTTTTCATGGCATTTTGAAGGCATTGGATTTCATGAAACCAAAGGAAATCTAATCCCTATTGAACAAGTTACAGGATTGGAGGGTTGTCTTGGAAAGCTCTTTTATAAAAGGTCATTTATCCAAGCAGATTGCAGAAGCACGAATTAATTGTTCCTGGGTCCTGCCTCATAATCACTGTCCAAATTTGGTGGATTATCTAAGTTTATTTCTTGTGGACCAGTGAAGAGATGGAGGATATAACTGTCTTTCTACTCTTCTCAGGTGTCAACTTATGTGAAGATTGAAGGGAGAGAGGATAAAGCAAAATGTTCTAAATGCTACTGTCTTGTTTCACTTGGAGAGGGCTGGAAGGAGGGGGGCGCCCCAACATACTGTGTAGCGAGATGAGTAAATACATGCTGGGTCCTCAAGTCCCACTGAGGGATATACAGCTAGATGAAATAGTTCCTGAGTACAAATCTGGGGTCATCACACTTACATTGAGCTAAAAGATCAGACTAATTGATAAAGTAATTAAAAACAAGCTGATTTTCTTGACTAGAAGAAAATTGGGGGCTAAAAATTGTTTTGGTATTGAAAGGATTTTACACTCCTGTGTTCTGCAGAGAAGCTGACTTTACAAGTGCTTGTTTTTTGCTTTCATACACCTTTTTTTGAAAGCCGTTTGATTGCTACAGAGGTAATGTCTTTTTCTCTTAGAACACTGTGTGGCTGCCGGGTAAGAGTGGAACTGTCAAATGGTGAAAAGAGAAGTAGAAATCGTGGCCCACCTCCTTCTTGGGGTCGACGCCCTCGAGATGATTATCGGAGAAGGAGTCCTCCACCTCGCCGCAGGTACTTGAGAGCTAGCGTGTTTAGAGGTATTGGTATAAATGGAGTAGCTAATGGGAGCAGGTATTTCTTTTAAAGTTTGTTTTGGTGGGTTTTTAAACTTACTGTGAAGAGGTTTTTAGGAAACATTTTGCTGGGTGTAGTTTGGGGTATGTGAGTTGTGCTGAGTGTTGGCTTTTGTCTTTAGGTCACTGTTCATGTTGGTAGTCAGTTACTTCTATCTTGGATCTATCTTCTAGTTCATCTTCTAGTTGCATCTTTCCAAGTCTTCCCTTATACTTCAATTTAGGCCTTTTTCCATTTCTTGACTCCATAATGACAAACATTACATTCAACTCTAGCTCTTCACAAAAATGTGTTTTCTACTATTAGCACGATTGTAATATTGACCAAACAGGCAGCTGTTTTAATGTTACAACTGGTAAAGTAGAAATCATTCTGAAACTGACTTAAGTCACTGACCATAAAGGGGGCTAAAAAAGTAATCCCAGTCATCTGTTCTTCAAACCCAAATAGGAGAGAATTCAGTTTTTTTATAATTGCAAATGGCATCATTCTTGGACCAGGCAGTATTGTCTGGATACTGACTCCACATCTCCTCAAACTCCAAAATAGTTTCTATAGGACTGAATTTACCTTGCAGGTGAGTGAAGTCCTAGGAGATAGGAGTTCAAAATCTTGCCCCTTTTACTATTTTGAAAAACAGAAACACACTGTTGCCCATCATAATAGAGTATTTGTTAGCTAATAGATGGTTGTACTGATGGCTTGTTTTTTCATTTTTTTTTTGTGCTTTTTGGTCCATCTATTAATAAAAATGAACCCCGTTACAGAGTCACCATCATGTCTCTTCTCACCACCCTCTGAGTCTGCATTAGCCAGTCAACTAGCCCTTTCAGCGTCATGTGACCAGCGCGCCCCATTCAGCTTGGCTGGTGTCGTTTCACATGACCCAGGCATGGCCAGTCGTCAGGTTGCACCGCCCTTTGGTTCCCGAGCATGCTGTTTTCTCTCAGCCTTCTCTCCAACCTTAACCAAATCGGCAGCAGCCACCTCGACCGCCCACACATTCCTGGCCAATCAGCTCAGCTGTTTATTTACCAAATGTCTTCACAACAACTACAGCAGCAGCCTTCGGCTAACAAAAAAGCAGGAAAAATCCACAACACCCCCTTCGCCAACCAACTAAATCCAACGCAACATCTGGCAAAACCTTTTCAGCAAATTCTTCCTGGCCGTCAGTCCGGCAGCCTCACCTCACCATTTCTAGCTTGTTGAAACCCAAAACTAGTAAGTTTTTCCTGCTTATACAGTTTACTGCTGGTTAAAATAAGGAGTAAGCGGCTTAAAGTAATTCTTTTTTCTGGATCAAAGGCTGGCTGTGCATAATTGAATGGTAACGTACATATATATTGCTTGAATAAAACTTTTAAGGGTGATAGGGAACTCATAATGTAACTAGACCTTCAAGTGGAACTTATTTGCATGTGTGAGATGCCAAACTAAAAATTTTAATAACTCTAACAGATTAGCTTTTCTTTCTAGCAAAAATTTTGTTGAATCCTATCACCTTTAAATGGTTTTACTAACAGTTTTCAAATTTTTTTAAATTTGGGGGTAAAGTGGGCCAAAGTTAAGGTAATTTTGATAAGCCTAAACACACTTAAATTGTGACGATCACAAATGGCAGTTCTAATGTAGCACTTAATGGCATCAATGTTTTACACCTAGCGCGTTTTCACAAAATTACACTATCCACCTAGTACCTTAAGTCTTGTCATGGACTTACAATAGGTTTGCATGGGTTCCAAATACTGGTTTATGGTACTGTTTTTGGAACTACTTGTGGGACTACATTTTGGTGTGGTGTTTGGGTAGTGAAGTTAGTTTGACATGAAGTTTTGCATTGGACAGATCTGCTGTGAAGCATTCTTTGTTAAAGTGAATCCATGGTTGGAATACCTGCTTTTCACTTGAGCTTTTGGTTCCTTAATCCTTCTGTGCCTTTTTTTCTTTACTTTTTTTTTTTTTTTTTGGACGATGGGTGCCAGTTCTTCGGCACATTCACTGGGCCCAACAGTGAGATTGAAAAGTTGGGAGATGCCTCACGCCATAAATACTAACTGACAGTTAGCCTAATTTTCCTGTTTCTGCTTTTAGATCTCCAAGACGGAGAAGCTTCTCCCGCAGTCGGAGCAGGTAATAATACCTTTTCTTGCCACATTCTCAGAAAAGGTATTTTCTATTTTCAGAATGACTTGGTTAATTAATATATCCAGGCTTTAGTAATGAGCCTTATGGTATATAGAGCCAGTGTTCTGTTTCATTTTCAAAGCCTCTTAGAAGTAACTATTTGTTCTGTATAATCTTGACTTGCCCTAATTTCTTTTCCTCTCTGGTATTAGGTCCCTTTCTCGAGATAGGAGAAGAGAGAGATCACTGTCTCGGGAGAGAAATCACAAGCCATCCCGGTCCTTCTCTAGGTCTCGTAGGTAAGATTCTTAATGATTTGAGCCATTAAAAAGAACTTACAGGTGGGTCATGGCCATTTTGATAGAATTTTTTATGGCTTTACTACTGAAATCTTTATGTCACTGAGTTTACAGATGTAACTTTATTCTTTGATTTTTTTTTTTTTTTTTTTTTTTTTAGCCGATCTAGGTCAAATGAAAGAAAATAGAAGACCAGTTTGCAAGAGGAGTGGTGTACAGGAAATAACTTCATTTGACAGGAGTATGTACAGAAAATTCAAGTTTTGTTTGAGACTTCATAAGCGTGGTGCATTTTTAAGATGTTTTAGCTGTTCACATTTGTTTGTTTCTTGGGACAGTGACACATAAAAGATATAATTCTCCATGGTTTGAAATGGATTATAAGAGGCATGTAATACCACAAATTGTTACTTTACAATGTTCCCTTAAGCAAAATTGAATTTGTTTTGAACTTTTAGTCTTGCATAGACTAAAAATAAACCTCTAAATTTTGCCTAGCCTATAAAGTGATTGATATTGTGGAAGCTGGCAAAAATCAAGACTTTTTCCATAACTAGGATACATAGTATGCAGCTGTAGTTGAATCAAGCAGTCTTTAAAAACTGCTATGAACACAAGCCAGTAGGTAAAAATAAAAGCTGCACCATAAAGCTAGATTTAGAGGTCTTTTTGTTTGTTTTAACTCCAACTAGTCTTAAACACTGGGTAGAGAACTCCTCCCAGCCCAGTTGGTATAGAATATTAAGAAATTTTCAAGAAAACGAGTTTATTTTTACTTTCAGTGATAAGTTCCTTATGTGATTGCTGTGTATCAATGCATAGCTCTTTATAACATTCTTTGGAAGTTTTGAGACCATTCAAGATCCTGATCTCCTGCAGTTTAAGGGTACATTGTAGAGCTGAACTTTGAGTTACTGTGCAAGATTTTTTTTTTCATGCTGTCATTTGTAATATGTTTTGTGAGAATCCTTGGGATTAAAGTTTTGGTTACAAATTGTTGTTTAACTTGAAAGCCTGTTTTTCCTTGCAAAACTAAAATCTGTGAGCTTGGTACCAAGTCCAGGTATAACATTCCTATTGGAAGCCATACTTATATTTTCTTGTAAAAGTGCTTTTGAATTAATAAAATATTAGCATAATTGTGTAATAGTTGAACCCACTATTACCATACTTCTTGTCCTTGGAAAACAGTTGGTTACACATATCTTATGAGAAACACAATGAGAAACTTGAATGGAAAGGAAAATTTTGGTGTCACCGAAGTGATTATTAGTATTTACATTTTTTTAAGAGAAACCAGTTAGAAGTCTGTGGTATACTCAGTGACCAACATTTTAAAGTTACAGACACCTGATACATTGTGATCCAAAGTTGCCCATAAAAAAGGCTTTTATCATTAGCATGAGAACTTTCCACAAAGCTTTAAAAATTGCTTCCATTTTATATAATTTGAGGTGTTGCATGGGAATTCTAAACTGATCCATCATGATGTAAAAAAAGTCACTATATGGTTAAAATGTAACAGTACAGAACTGAATATGGAGGCATGTATAACTTTCCTCTTAGAAATCAGAGGAGTTGTAATTTCAAATTTTTGTGCAATTAGATTAAATTGGAATGCAACAGTCTTGTGGCTTAGTTTCCTTAAACGTGTTATTTAAAGATAGTTTTGGATTATGCTCTCCTGACTTTGTCTTTAACGCAAAAGATAAGTCATTGCATTGATTTCAGTATATGAGGATATTTTGTAAAATGTAGGTCCTTGACAGTGGTCCTTAATCTTTCATGCAAATACCAATGAGAAAAGAAACATTGGTATCAGTGTATTCACTTAGAGCCTTGTTAACAGAAGGACATTACCTGTTGATTAACTGGGGGCTCTGGCCTTACACCTTTTGTCTTTGAGCATTTCTTTATCCTAAAAACTCTTCCTGTTAGGAAAAGTTAGCAAAGTAGTCATGGAAGTAATAGGCAGATCAATTACTAAACTGTTTTACAAATGGACATTTACTTGGGTATTTTCAACAGTAAATACTGCAGTCTTGAAGGGTTTCTGTAAAAAGGACAGAGGATAATGTGCAGAACTGGACCTCAGGTGTTCCAAGTTCACAATCAACTTTAATCAGAAGCCCTAGTTCAATATTAGTTTTGTGTGAAAAAAAAAGTAGAAATTGTAAGCATAGGATTTTTACTTTAAAATTGAAAGTCACTGTAATCAAAATTTATAAAACACATTAGCCAGTCTTGTCAAGTAGCCTATGAGTTGAATGATACTGAAAAAAAGACAAAAATAATAGTTTCGTTGTCATGAATATGGTGTTCACTAGGAGTCACTATTTTATACCTAGTGAGAAAAATACAAGGATTAGTTTTTTATGCCTTCAAGAATACCCTGATCTGTACTTCAAAGTTACTTTTTACCTCCATAAGCAGGTTAAGATAGATTAGAGGAATTATAATTTTGCCACTTTGATGAACTTTTTAATAATTGTTTAGGATCATGTGATTTGTGGACAGTCTTTACATCTCCCCTTTAATTCAGTTCACTCATCTGGAAGGGAAGTCTGATTTTATTGTATAAGTCCTGATTTACATTAGCACAGTGCTACTTTACACTAATGGAAATTGAGAGATTTTCAAAAACTATAGGGCCTTTTTGGGCAGACTTAACTCAGTTTTCCAGGGTGGTCTAGAGCTATGTTATTTGTAAGAGTTCTAGGTGATAAAAAATCCCTGGTTATGTAAGGCACTTGTTTTAGTAATTTGTGTCTTAATGTGCTTTTATTTTCACACTCAAAACGTGACTTAGTTGTCAGAACAGGTTGGTAATGTCTACCGGTTGTATATTTTTGTATTAGACTGCTGCCCTCTCGTTTTTCTTTTTTCTCTCTTTTTTGAGAACGTGGCAGATTTTTATAATTAAAGTAGCTGAAGAAAAACTGGGTTGGAGTATATTTTTATCAAGAGCGGGTAGTGTTGAATTAGAGTTTGCATGTCCACACGTTCTCTTCCTATTTTATTAGATTCATTGGATACTTAAGAATTCTATTGTAGCACACATGAGGGTCTGAGATCCCTTGATAAACCTAGTATAACTGCTTGATTTTGTTGATGCAGACTTCCCTGTCATACCTTCCATTACTTTCATTATGCATTTAGTAACCCAATTCTTTTTAATTAATCTGGAACGTGTGAAACAGCCAGAATGTTCTCCAGACTTAAACATAATGCATAAAACATTTTTCTCTAGTTTTTTAGTTCTCTGACATATACAATGCATGTATGATGGTTTTATCTGAGTCTTAGGGCAATTTAGTGCCTCTGTTACAAGTACATGTATGTACTCAGTCTTGAGGATCTGAAAATACTGATACTTTTTCATTGCTAGACATTTGGAGAGGTCCTGAGATGGAGAATATTTTCAAAGCAAAATCAAGCCTTTCAGAAATGTACTATGTAGGTGACTTTCCCCTTTAATGTTTTAGTCACTTATGAATGGACACTTGTTTCAATATATATTTTTTTAGATTTCATTTGGTATAAGTGAGCATCTTTTAGTGACTATTTGCTGACAAGTCCCAAAATTAGAAATCCATCAAGGGGGAGAATTGCTAAAGTTGCTTAATGCTTTTATAATGCTGCCTTTAAAAGAGGATCTGTTGCTGTTTGTATTGGTCATTTAGAAATGAGTTATTAAAATTGTCTATTTTGAGAAGTTAAAAAGTTTCTTTTAAGAATAACTCCCGGGACTCCCTTTTAAACTTCAGCAGGTGGAAACTTACTTAATCCATTCCAGCTGACTGCCATCAGGATTTCTTTATAAGAAAATTTAGTTTAGATGAAACCACCCTTGTTAAAGTTTTCAACAAGAGTCCTTGCAAATAAACAGATTGGAATGTTGGTTGTCATTGTGTCTGTGTCACACATTCCCCACATAGTCCATAATAGTGGGGCTGGGGTACAGCAGTAAGTGGGGTACAACATCAGCTCAATATCTGGCTGAGAGCTTTTTAAAAATTAGCCCCTTGACTAGCAGAGTAAAACAGGTGAATTTTGAGTCACAGTAAGGTAACAGGTGCTGAAAAGCTGAGTTCACGGACAAGGAAAGGCCAGTAAAAACCTGAGATGATGTAAGAAATGAGCCTCTTAATCATGAGGTTAGGAGACAAGCAAATGAATGTAACTGCACTAGGATTTGGAGGAGAAACTAGAGTTCTCAAGCAATTTTAAGTATTTTTTTTTTTTTTTTAACTTTGGCCATACTTCAAATAAGCCAGGTGTAGGATAACTTGTCTGCCTTTTAGCACTGACAGGAAGTGGGGGAAGTGTTAGACCACACTAATGAAATGACTGCCTCTTGTACCCAGCTGTCTTGGGTGTACTGGAGACAAGTTCGCTGAATTGGCAGTGCTGGTTGACTGCAGTTGGCAATAATAGAGCAGTCCCTTGGATGTAAAATGTGCTTTCAGGAGGTTGAGAGAAGTTGCCCACTTTTTAAGTAGTATGGAGTAGATGAACATACTTGGCGAGAACTAAGAATGCGGAGACTCAGGGTGCTTGGAAGCTTCAATGGACACCGTTGGAAGAGGTCAGGGAGGGCAGTGGGCGTTTTTGCCCCCCTCTTGCTCTCCATATCCACTTGCCAAACACTGTGCCAGGACCTTTTGTTTTTTAAAAAAATTGAGGTAATAGTTTACATCCTAGGTTCCAAGGTAACATTCTCACCACATCCACCACCACAGGCCTACTCATCTACCACCAACCAGTTGGCCCCTTACAATCCTTTCCCCTCTTAATCACCATTCTGTTGTCAGTCTGAAGAAGTTTTTATTTTTCCACAGTCTCTTTCTCCTGACATTACACTTCGCATAATCCCTTCGTGGTCCGTCTATGTTGTCAGTGATGGTGAGATTTAATCGTTTTATACTGCATAGCGTTGCATTGTGTGTACGCCATCCTTTCTGTTAATTCATACTTGGGTTGCTATATCTTGGCTATCGTGAATAGTGCTGTGATGAATATAGGGAAATACCCAGAAATGAAATTCTGGATCATACGGTAGTTTGTTTTGTTTTTTAGCATTCTGAAGAACTGCCATAGAAAAATTTTCCATGACCATAAAACAGACTTTCATGTCTGCTGGCCATCCAAATCTTTAGTGAAATGTCTAGGCCCTTTCCTCCCCAGGGCTTTCTGTTAAAGTGATACTTGGCCACTTAGGAGGAGGTGAGTATCAAGTACCACTGTCAGGATAGAAAAAAGTTCCATCAGAACTCAGACCAACCTGGAATCAAATGCTTTAGCATGTTTTTACTTTGTCAACCCAATCAAGATGCCATTTTATTTGATTCAGTGATTGTCAGGATTTAGATCATAGAATTTTAATTGCAAATGTCAAATGCTCATAGTGAAAAATGAAATTGTGTATATTTGGAAAAAAACTACCACTCCACTTTCTGGAGATAAAGTGCATGATGAACAAGTGATACAGTTAGAAATTCATGATTACATGTATCCTTCAGTTTTTCCTCAAAGCATCTGAAACATGCATGGACTCTGGTGTATATATTGTACTCTTAAGATACATGCCATTATCTGGGCACATAGCCATAACTAAGCAGTCAAATTTCTTTTTTAAAATATTTATGTATACAAGAATTGGGTACAGACCAGAGCTGTGGTTGGGGGTGGGGGGTGAGAGAATTCACCAGAGACAGTGGGGAACAGAATAGGCAGATTGACCAAAATACATGCTGAGGGAAGCAGCGGGCGAGACAGGAGAGGTCTACCGCACCCTGTGGGTTCCTCTCTGGCTTGCCAGGGATAGAACTCGTGCTGCAGAGGCTATGGATTGCTTCATCGTGCAGTGCTTAACCCCTTACATCACCAGCGAGACCCTAAAGATTTATTTATGCATACAAGAGCTGGGTTACATGATTGCTGCTCCATACGGATTAGCTCCCTGGCCGGGAATCATGCTGTAGTGGCTGCGAATAGCTTCATAGTGCTGAAACTTAACTAACCCCTTGTGCCGCCAGGGAGGCTTTTTGTCCTTGTTAATTATTAATTAACCTTCCTGTAGGCAAACTTCCAAACTATGACTAGTTGCTATGGTACTCTAGATTCCTGGTTTTGACAACACCCCAGTTTT